CGTGTTCACACCCTATGCGCATGCTCTCGAACGGAGCAAGCATCTATCAAGCGCGGATCGCGCGATCGATGGGGCTCAACGCACATGAACAATTGCGCCGCTCTAAGCAATTACTTGTCTTCTGCTGGCCACGAAGCAGCCATTGACCGGTTGCCATGTATTGGCACGATGCCTTTTCACGACGTCAGGCTCGCCACATTCCCGCTCAGACGGCATGACGGGTAGAGTGAGACTCATCACACCGTTCTCACCATAACTTACGAAGCCTCTGCGCATCTGGACAACACCTGCAGCTGTGGATGGAAACCAGGGTGTTCAGACCTCTGCTCATCGTCTTTGGCTGGCCACTCGTTTTTGAACGAGGTCGGCAATCACCCCAACCTGCCGCTTCACGCTTATGCACGAGACTCGCGCGCGCATCACCACCGACTCGAGGCCGGCAATGCCATCAGCCTCATCAGCAGCAGCATCGACAGCGAAAAGCACCTCCTCACGCGCACAACCACAGCATCTCATCTCGCGTGATACCCAGAGCCGGCAATCTGGCGGCGCAGATGTTGGTGGGAGTGTGACACTCACGCCTTTTCCAGCAATGTTGGGAACGGTGGTGGCGTGCGGGCTACAGGAGCAGCATTTGCGTCCGCTTCCAGCTTGCGCGCTTTGTTGGGCGCTACTTCTTCTCCTTCGATGGCGGGAGAGACGAGTGCGGAAGCGGCAGCGGCGGCGGACGCAGAGGCTGCGCTGGGGCAAGACCGGCTGGCCGTGCGGACCGTGCGCGCTGCAGATGGTGAAGATACAGTGCGACGCAAATCGCCCGCGGGCGGAGCAGCGCCGCTGCAAGATCTGTTCACCCCGACCCGAGGAGGTTCGAGGACGCACCTGGGCGCTGTCTAGCCGCAGCAAAGGGCGTATGCGAAGTCGTTGGCGACCACCACCGCCTCCGGCAGCGGTAATGGGAGCATCAGCACGCGAAGCGACGCAGCGCATCGTTTAAACCTGTTCCTATTCAGTCGCACGAGAACGGGCAGGGGCAGGGACCGGCTAGGATGAGGAGCAGGCGAGAAGCTGGAACGGCAGAAGCGCGAGTTCGAGCAGAAAGTGAGGAGTGCTACTGATGCTAGGCGATTGGAGTGGGAGATCAAG